GAGTTTAAAATCTTCAGCTCGCACGTGCATAGAGAATATCCCTGCAAAGTTTCAGCTTTCTACCTTTCCTGGTTCACGAAATCGTTTCTCGCCAACATATTTTTTTGGGGTGCCTGTACGCGTATAAGGAAAGATCTTAAAACGGGAGGATGACACACAGGGTAGGAACGTATTAAAGGTTGAAAAGAAAATATCAGGGGAAGAAGGAAACAATGAAAAGGAAGAAAAGGATAATAAAATGGGAAAGGGGTCTAAAGAAATATTTGTTATAGGTAAGTCGGTCCATTAACCTTCAACCGAAGTTTCAGCCTCCTAGCTTCCCTGGTTGCTCTGACAAAATACAGTGACTGACAAAATGCACTCGCTTCCGAACACACACACATACAGCCTTTCGACAGTATGCGTTTTTGTTGGCTGTAGTAGCGCTATAGCGCAGCAAAAACGCATAAAAAACTGGAACGACTAAGGTAATGGATGGCGTAAGTTTCTTATATTCACCTCTGGCTCTCCGCACCGATTTTTTGGGTCATTTCATAATTTCGTAATACACCTCAATGACACTGTGCAGTACTGTTTTGCAACATCTGAAATATCACTAGGAAGCACTCCTCTTCTCATTAGATTTGCCTTCCTACACTACGGTTTGCTTACCCTGAATGTTGAAAAATGCAATATTCCAGGTTCTTTCTCATCGGCAGTACTCGGCAACGCACCATCAACCTTCACCCACTGCACACGATCAACAAGTTCGTTGCCAGTGGCCGTACACACCACGTCCGTTGCCTTGCCTGCCTCCAGCCATTGAGTTGAGCCGCCAAGAACCGTAACAGTTGCCACTTTCGATGGTTCCACAACTGCAATACAGCAAATAACTGCTCTCTGACGACAATCCATAATTCCCGTTAATTTGATGAATGCAATTCAGACTTTTTGCGAGCAATAAATCAGCTTCGTATTATTAAATGCTTTCCGCCTTTATACCTAACTGTTATTCGGTATGAAGGCGGAAAACATTTAACTTCTTTGCGTGCCAAGATTATTGCTGTTTAGATAAGTAAAGGTAATATTTGTTGCGTCAAAAGTTAAGGTGTGAGATAAAAAATTGTGCTGTAATGTGTGATTGTGCGTACGTGAAAGATGAAACAAGCCTCGAGAGCATCCGTCTACTAATTTGCTTCTGTTAAAAAATATGCTTCCTTGTGGTACAATACCTTCGATATAAATGTCTTTTTTGGCAGAAGCCTGACTGTTGCTGCCTCTACACGTGTAGACGCCTGCATTACCGACGCCAATATTTGGATGTCGAATGAACTGTTCCGAAATAGTGACCGGTTTGAAATCATCAGGCAGGTCACCTCTTTCCGGACCCGGATCGCTGCAAACACTATTATCCATTATACACATAACAAAAGAAACGGATACACAAACTATAAAAAGGAAAGGGAGTGCCCTTCCGCCTGGGCTGAAAATACCAAAATCACCAAAGCGGAAACATAGATTACACGTTTTTCCAACAAACTGTTGCACATCTGCACTGAGCAAGTAAGACAGAACAGTAAGGACTGGCTTTATTTCATTACAGTGCTTTTTGACCTGTTATATGAATTTCACCAGGATTGCTTCATTCGGGGATTGCGATGTCGGCCACATTAGATATGAAGACATGAAAGAGGAAGGAAGAGAAGCATTCGCGTCAAATGCGAATTTTTCGACTTTTAGGCAATTTGGGAATTTACTCCCAAATTTCGGCATTTTTGATTCCCTGATTCTAAAAACTGGTCGAGTATGTGCTTAAATTTAATCACTGGCGACGCGCACTGGGGGGCCCCGTTCGATCATGCGTTTTTGCAGTGTTTCGTGCTGCAATAAGATCGCTTGAAATTCCGCTAGCTAGAAACCTCTTGTACATACTGGTTCTCGAATTTCGGGAAGTTAATTATCCACGCTAT